TTTGTACGCACAATGAGATATCTTGGGGATGGTTCCCAAGTCTAAACACAGAATTCATCTGTGTTTCACATATACCTTACACACATAGACTGAGTGTATCCTTATGCAGTACTTGTAATAACTTTGTAAACCAAGGCCGTGTTTTGAAAGTCTCCACTTGACGGTGGGGATACACCTCAGTGATGGAGAGCTTGTTTTCCATGCATAAGGACCTGGGTTCAATCCTCAGCACTGAAAGAAATTGCACTTGTTGAGGTCACAGTGATGCTCACAATTTTGGATTTTGGAATGTTTTGAATTTCATATTTTCAAATAAGGGATACCTAACCTGTTCTAATCCAGAGAGGAACAGTATGAGAAATAAGGTTTGCAGGGCAATGTGATCATAACTGTTGGGGGAAAGTCCTGAAGAACAGACCGAGATGCGGAGCTCAGCACTGAGGAGGAACATCAGAAAACCAGGACCAAAACAGGGTTATTTATGCAAATACAGTTTTTGAATTGCCATTGTAGCTGGCTGTGTAATCCATTCTGATCAATTTGCATTAAAAAACTTTTCTTTTAGTTGTAGATGGACACAATACCCTTTTTTTTTTTTTTAATATGGCGCTGAGGATCGAACCCAGTTGGCACCCAGTGTGCCAGTTCTCTTCCTACAATGTGCTGTGCACAGAGTGGGTGCAGAACAGCCAGTATCTTGACCAGGTTTGGTGTTTAGTAATTCTCCAGGAGGATAATATGAAGGCAGCTTTCCCAGAACTTCAGCATCCCTCTACTTTGGTGAGCATCTTTCAGACCACACATGTGCGAGGCAAACGCTCTGCCACTGGGCCACAACCCCAGCCCATGTGTTTGCATTTTTTTTTTTTTTTTTCAGAGTAGAAATTAGAAATTTATTAAAGGACAGCAGAAAAGACTTCTCCTGGAGGAAGAAGGGGACCCAAGAGGTGGAATCCCGTGTTTGCATTTTTTTAAAGTTTTCTTTTTTTAGTTGTTGATGGACATTTATTATTTATTTATATGTGGTGCTGAGAATTGAACCCAGTGCCTCACACATGCCTGGCAAGTGCTCTGCCACTGAGCTACAGATCCAGCCCCAGTGTTTGCCTTTTTTGATTAAAATATTTGGACATAGATTCTGTCAATTTATACTTCAGTAAGTGAATGTAAAAACTTTTTTTCCTAATGTTTGCAACATTGTTTTTTGTTTTTGTTTAGTGGTGCTGTGGCTGGGAACCCAGGGTCTCACACATGCTAGGCAAGTGTCCTACCACAGAGCTACATTTAGTACCAGTGTCTGTTTCCTTACATAGAAAGAAAAGTCTCCCATGTCAGGTTGAATAGCTAGCACAGCGGTTTCCTGTACACCTTTCCCATCTTCGGCTCCCGTTAGCATCTAACATTGCCCCAGAACAGTTATCCAGGTCCAGAAGGTACCAGAAGGAATGCTGATATGCCCCATCAGCTCATCTGGAGGCCCCTGAGATGTCACCAGGCTCCCGACACTGCCCTTTTCTTCTGGGTTGCATGCAGGGCCCCACTTTGTGTGGTTGCCCAGTGTCTTTCGTCTCTCCTGGTTGTTCTTGACACTTTTTTTTTTTTTTTGGGAGGAGGAAAACTTTATTTGGTGCTTATGGTTTCAGAAGTCTCAGTCCATAGGCACCAGCTTCATTGCTCTGAGCCCTAGAGGAGTCCCAAGTGTGTGGTGGAAGAAAGCAGGTTGGGACATGACATCAGGAAGGAGAGAAAGAGAGAGCTCTCAGCTCGGTAAGGACAAAATATACATCCCAAAGGCACATCCCCAGGCATCCAACTCCCCCAGCTGCACCCAAGTTGCCTAACAGTTACAACCAAATTAATCCCTAACAGGGGATTAATGCTCTGATTAGATTAAATTTCTTATAACTCAATCATTTGTCTCTGAACTTTCTTGCACTGAGCCTTAGGGAGACACCTAATACCTAGCATAACATTCTACCCACTGGCCTCCAAAAACTCATACTCATCTCACAATGCTAAATATATTTAGTTCATTTCCAAGAGTCCCCATAGTCTCAACAGTTCCAGGATTGACCAAAAGTCCAAATCTGAAGTCTCCTCTGAAACTTAAGGCAAACTCTCAGCATGAGCCCCTGTAAAAATCAAATCTAGTTACATATATCCCATATATAAAGGCACAAAGAAATGTTTCCATGTGAAGAAATAGGGGCATAGGAAGAAGGAATGGGACTAAAGTAAGACTAAAATCCAACTGAGCAAACAAGTCCTGTAGTTCCATGTCCAATATCTGGAACACTTGGAATTACGTATGATATTCTCCCCAAAGAGCTGTGTAGGTCTGCCCCTATGGCATTGCTGGTTGAACCCACATGGCCTCTGTCTTGGCTCAATTTCTGCAGCTTTCCTCAACAGCATTCATGGTACTGGCTTCTCTTAATCTTGAGGGTCTCCACTGCAACTTTAACTTTGTCCTCACATCTCCATGCATCACCCTGTCAGGGGCAGCCCACAGAGACTGATCCTGCTGTACTTTGCCTGGCTTCCCAGGCCTTCCTTTGAAATCTCACTGGTAGCTTCCATGACCCCCCAACTCCAATATCCTGTATTTCTGTAGAATCAGCACAATATGCTTGATGCCAGATTCTTCCACCATTTCTAGCAGTAGCCAAACCTCCAGGGACCACAACTGCAGCAGCCTCTTGAGTACCTGCGTGGCTCAGCATTGTTCTTGACACTTTTGAGAAAAACCTGTGAGGTCTTTTGGAGAAGGTCCCTCCTTTTGTGTCTGGTGTTTGTCATGATTAGACTGGCATAATGGGTCTTGTGGGTGTGCTCTATTCCTCCTTGGCCGATACCAGAAGGGACATGTTATCAATTTATTGTTTATTACTGTTAATGTACAAGAAATAGATGGGAGTATTGTTTTGCCTGCGACTATCCAGTTGTTTCACCACAGTTTATCGCATAGACTATCCTTTTTCCGTGGAATTTCCTTTGCACCTTGTCGGAGCCTCGTGGCAGTAAATCTGCATCTGGTTTCTCACTCTGCTCTGTGGGTCTGTGTCTCTCCTTTGGCCAATGCCATGATGTGGAGAGCACTGCAGATTCAGAAGTTGTCTTGACATTGCGCACTGTGAATCCCATCTTGCTTTTCCATTTTCACGACTGTTGTAGCCATTCTGGCTTAATAGGGACTCTTAGATTACCTTACTTGTCATGGCTCCTCGGACTCGCAGTGGGCTCTGCAGGTCTGCGAGTCTGCCCAGCATTGGGTCTCCCTCGAGTGTGGCGAGTCTCTGCCTTCACCTGGGGCTTCGGCGATCCACAGTTTTCAGCATATAAGCCACAGACGTTCTTTTGGATTCATGTGTACTTATAAATTTTACTGCTATTTTAAATTATACTTTTTAGTTTCAAATTATAGTTTTTCGTTGTTGATATATAACTGTAATTGATTTTGTGTATTTTAGGCTCCCTTTTAAATTCTCTTTTTTTAATAGATTTTTTTTTTTTTAAATTTTCTGTGTAGACAGTCATCTGTGAAGAGAGACATTCTATTTCTCCCTTTTTTCTTGCCCAGTTTCACTGACCAGACCTACATGCTGAGTAGGAGTGGCGAGAGAGGACACTCTGCTGTTCTCTGATCTAATGAGTAAACTTTCATTCTTTTACATTAAGTCTGATATTAGCTGTAGATTTTTGGTTGATCCCCTGTGTGGGAAATCCCCCTTTATTCCTAGATTGCTTAGAGTTTTGGGTCAGGAAGGGGTATTGAGATTTGTTAAACACTTCCCTACCTTGAGATGCATGTTCTTTCTCTTTTTAATTCTGTTAATATGGTGAGATATGGTTATTGGGTTTTAAATGTTGAACCAGCCTTGTGTTCTTACATAAGCACTGTGGTTTTAGTGTGTTTTAATTTTTACATGTGGCTGGATTCTAATGGCCAGTGGATGGTGGATTTCTGTCACTGTTTGTGGAGGTGTTGGTTTGCAGTTTTCTTTCCCTGCAGTGGCAGTGTGTGTGCTGAGAGGGGCTGGATATGGGTGGTGGTCTTGGTGTTGAGCTGATGGGCCTGTCTAGTTGGCACCCAGTGTGCCAGTTCTCTTCTTACAACGTGCACAGAGTGGGTGCAGAACAACCAGCACCTTGACCAGGTTTAGTGTTTAGTAATTCTCCAGGAGGATAATATGCAGGCAGCTGTTCCCAGAACTTCAGCATCCCTCCGCTTTGGTGAGCATCTTTCAGACCACACTCTGGGAAATGGAATGGACACACAGCATGGCCTCAAGGAGATTGGTGATTTGGCCAGACACTCCCAGACTTGCCTGATGAGACAGAGTAACGTAAGAGAACAGATCCTTGTGAACAGAGCTGGCTTTACACACAAATGTGAGAAAAAGAGAACTGTAGAAGTACGTGGTTCTCATCTGAGCAAACTGATGTGGGATGTGAACTGTTCATTCTGATGATTGTCCAAAGTGTGGGGCTGGGCCTGTCGATGTGGTTTTCTCTCACTGATCAGAGTGGAGCAGAACTCTCCTGATCCCGTAGGAAGTCCATCTCTACCCCCTTTTGCTCCACAGGGAGCCCAGGAGGCAGTTCCAGTAGGAGCTCTTGGTTCCTTCCCCAGGCCTGCACCCAGAAGCACCGTCTCAGGCCCTCTCTGTGATTTTCAAGCATGTGTCCAGCTTCCTGCACTCATTTTATGAAGGTCGACTTAGATATGAGAATGTGGTGGTGGCAGGTTACCTGTGTTTGTGCTGGGCACGGTTAGCATGGTTCAAAGCAGTTTTATTTATACCTGCAGTTGACTCAGCAGCGGGAGTTGGGCAGAGATGGGAATGGCTTCTCTGTCCACCCTGCTGCCAGGTGTCATGACTGGGAGGTGATGCCATGAACAGCTGGGCTCTTAGGAGGAAGCCATCCCTGGTTTGGGGACTATCTCAGTAGATGCCTGGCCAAGACACTGTCACAGGAACCTTTGATTTTGTTCCTAGGCACCACACCAACCCTGTGGGCACCGAGTGGCGGTGGAAGATGGACCAGCCTGAAATGATCTTGGAGGGCGCTGTGGAAAACCACCTGGACATGATGAAGCAGTTCAGAGGTATTCTGCAGAGGGACAACAGAGGGACCACTTGGAGCCTGAAGCAGTGTGGTGGGGGGATCGCCTCTTTGGGGTGTTTCGCTCTGCTGGAAACTTCCCATAGGGAAGCAAAAACATTGTAGAAATATTCTATGTATCTTAACCTTTAAAAATTTTAAATTTTATATTCCACTTGATGGAAAAACTGAAAATTCAACCTAAAGGCTAGCAGCTCGATCTGTAAGTTTTGCCTGGGAACATATCATCCTTCCTGAGATGCTTTGCCATTGCTCTGTCCTGGTGGGCACAGCCTTATGAATAGCCTGGGAATTTTAGGTCATAGGAAAGTTCTTAAGTAATATCAGACAGTACTAGAAAAGCTTTTGTGGTTGAATGCCTTATAAAAAAGGAGGGATCATATCGAAAGTTTTTTTTTCACATAATCTATAGTAATATAGCAAAAAATCTGCCACTCAGTTTCTACAATTTTCTGATTCAATTCTTTTTTTAATTATATTTAAAAGATATTTGAATCTACTAGAGATTCTTGGTCTCAAAATCTATTGTGTATCAGAATCACCTGGAGAGCTTGTAAACACAGGGTGAATTCTGTGAGTCGGAGTCGGAGCCGGAGCCCACCCGAGCACCGCTTAAAAGAGCTGGGGTTTCAAAGAGGTGGCTTCATCAAGCAGTGACTGTGAGTGATGAGCTGGGTGTGCTCCCGTGCTTCCCACCACGTGTCTTATTGCCTCTATTCCATTTCTTTCTTTTTTTTTTTTTAAAGAGAGAGAAAGAGAGAGAAATTTTTAATACATAATTTTTAGTTTCCGGCGGACACAACATCTTTGGTATGTGGTGCTGAGGATCGAACCCAGGCCGCACGCATGCCAGGTGAGCGCGCTACTGCTTGAGCCACATCCTCAGCCCATTGACAGTAAAAAGATTCCAACAGAGGTTGCTCTGATTTCCTCCTGTGGTGTTAACAAAATGACTCCACATCAGTAATAGTTCACACAAAGCAGTCAATAAAGTTTTGCCTTGTTCTTTATGAACTAGGGAGAATAGACCTGTACATGTTTGTTTATGGGTAGGCTTTTTTATTTACATTTGCAGAGATGCTCATAAGTATTGTAATTTTTCGCCTTGATTTTTAATCTGAATCATTTTTTATGGTGGGGTGGGGATAGATTGCTTTCTGTTACTTGGATAAAACAGTGTCTCTTACTAGACTTTTGGGAAATTAAATGAAAGTGTTGGTAAAGAACAATAAGTCTCAACTAGAATTTGACTACCTTTTCTTAGCCTTTTTGTTACTTTAGTTAATAGTGATTGTTGATCCTCAAATCACATACACAGTATGTTTAAAGGTAGCATCTTGTTTTTTTCTGGATAGTATATTCAGGGTTCTCTGGAGAAACAGAAGAGCGTGTTTCAAAGAATAGATTGAGAAAGAGATTAACTTGTTTATTGTAAGAAATTGGCTCCTGCAACTGTGGGAATTCGGAGAGCCCCGAATGTGATGGGCTTGGCTGGCAGGTTGGGGACCTGGGAAGGGGATAGGCAAAAGTCCCAAGGCATTCTGCTGGCAGAATTCTTGCTCAGGGAGGTCCATCTTCACCTGATTAGATCAGGTCTCTCCACTTTATGGAGTGTAATTTGCTTTACTCAAAATCCATCAGTTTTAATCCTATCTAAAAAACATCTTTGCCGAAACATCCAGAATAATGTTTGACTCAGCATTGGGCACTATGGCCCACCCAATTTGACACATAAAATTGTTACAAATAGTAATGTCAGAAGCAGGAAATACCAGGATTTTTTCCTTTTTTTTTGCTCTACTGAGTGTACTTTTGGTGTATTCTTGAGGAGCTAGCTAAACCCTGGTGGGGACTTATTGCTGGAAGCCCTGAATCTCCTGGACGTTTGTGTCCCAGGCAGTTGCTGCAGGAGGAAGCAGCCCTGGGGAAAGCTGTTCACTTGGGTAGAATTTTCTCAGGGTGTCTCCTTGCTGAGATGCCCTTGGTACAGAATGGCATTCTGAGTTCTGATAGTAATTTTTTTGACAGAAACATTTTTGCAAATGCACTTTAAATGGAAATCAGTAATGAATAAGTCATGGAGTTGACTTTGTCATGTTAGTGAGGCGAGTTGGGTGAGTTCACAAGAGCGCAGGTTCTGGGTCGTCCGTCAGACCGGCTTGGGGGTTTGTACTGTGCCGAAGGTTCCAGAGGCGTAGGAAGCCAGAGGCGTAGGAAGCGGTTTTTCAGTGAGTGCTACCTTCCAAAGGGATAACCGGCTGTGGCTTGCAGAGAGCAGGGGCAGAGCTGAGGGACTGCTTAGCTGGCTTAAGAGTGCAGGAGGTAGAGTCCCGCTGTCACCAGATTTTCTCCTAAGAATGGCTTGCTAGGGTGTCACCTGGGAAAATCTCACAGAAGGTGCTTTCTTTTATTCCTTAATTGATTGACTTTGGAAAATGTTACCACATCAGCAAAACATTGACTCAACAGTAACTTTGATGGAGAGGTTTTCCACGCGGGCCTGGGAGACCTCAGCTCTTCATTTTACCACAGCAGTTTCTCTATCCACCAGCAGGAGGTGGTGCTGGTGAAGGTGTGGTGGATGTGGGGAACCAGGCACGGCTAGCTCCTCCTGCCTGTGATTTCATAATGAATGCCAGCTCCCTTCCCCTCCAGTTTGGGGCCCTGGAGACTGTTTACTGCTTCTTACCTCATTCTGAGTCAAAATAAGCCACATTGGTTTTTGAAAATCTGGCTTCTTTCTCCAATTGCTGCAGTGAATCTTGCCATGAACCTACAGTATTAGAAGAGGCAACAACCTGATTGTTGAGGAATTGACGGGGCAGTGGGAGAGGAGAGCAGGGCTCGGGGCTATGGGAGGGTGAGGTACCTGCTAGAGCTAACAGCAGAGCCACCAGTGTAGCTGCTGTGATGCATCACTGCCCACGCTGGCCTTCACCAGTGATCATCCTCTTTCCCACCAGCATGGGCCCTGCAGTGAGCTCTCCCCTTTCTTCAGCCTCAGGAGACCAGGTGCAGGTTAAACAGGCCACCTCCTTTCTGGCTGCTTAGCTTCAGGCGAGGGTCGAGGGACACACTGCCTCTTCTGAGCCCCGCACCCTCCCCTGGCTGCAGGTTGAAATCTGGCCTCTGTTCATGTCCTGGTGGAGGCTCTTCTGGCTTCCTGGCCCTGAGCTCCTTGTGGAGATTGGCCTGGGGAAGAGGCCCGGCCCTGCGACAAGGAGCTGCCCTCTTCCAGGTGCCCTGCAGGACCCGCCTCTGTCTCTCTTCCAACACGTGCTTGAATTTCCCCTGTTGAAGCCCCCATGCTGCTGCCCTGTGCCCTTCGTGGCTTAAAAGGAAAAAACAAAAATAAAACAAAACAAAACAAAAAAAAAGAGCAAATAACCCAGAAGAAATGTGTATTTCTGGCTTCCTTAGTTGGAATTTAGAGCACATTTTCCCATAGTAAATAGTATTGGAATTTGATTAGATCATATTGAAGTGGTTTATCAGTATTATGGTTTGGGTACATTACAGATTAGTTTGGTGTTTGGGGATTTGTTATGTTCATTAATTTACCTATAGTAGCATTGTATCTGTGGGAATACAGATTTTAGACTTAAAAATGCTTAGAAACAGATGTCTTTTGTAAATTGGAAAGTACACTATTTTCAAGGCTTGAAGCCTTTCCCTTTGGCTTGTTATATTCCAGGTATGTCCACTTTGGCCTCTCTGTAGAGGTCCACTTTTTAGCTTGCTAAGAACGTTCTTTGCCCTGGCATGGAGTCCTTTGTTTTCTAGAGGGGAGGAATACTTGCTTTTTGCCATGGGTCTGGTTCATTTGTGGTTTTATTTTGGAGGATGGGACCACTGTTGCTGCCCATTGTGTTGAAGTTTCCAACTTGAGCCAAGTGGCCAGCCTTGAGCACATTTTGAAAACATTCCCTGATTTTTTTTTTTAATGCTCCCCTTCTGTGCTGCTGTTCTCAGTTCTGAAGGCAATCATCTTTCTTCTCATGACTGTGTTAGCTTTCCATTTATATACATGCACAATTAGCTCTGTATTGATTAAAAGTGGGTCAGAACTTCACTGTGAGTCAGCATTTTTCCAAAATGCTGCTGCCCCTTCTGACTGCCCTTGTGGAGAGCAGCAGCTCAGTACTCATGGAGTAAAACTGCTGTCCACAGTGACCTGGGTCCTGAAAATGCAGAGTTGAAAGGATGCATTTTGTGCCAGATGCTCATCTAGAGTGACCTCGGAGGAAGGGTCTGCTCTGTGGCTTTGACAAGCCTGGTACACAGACCGGAAGCGGGAGGAGTGCACCGCCTGCTGGTGCCCCTGAGCATGCCTGTGCAGAGCCTCAGTGCAGGTGTCTGTGTCAGATGTATCTGTGATGTCCAGCCCGAAGGCTCAGGAAGGGTTGAGGAGGACATTTTATTTCTGATTAGCCAGGTTTGAATGCGGGAAGCTGAACCACTGGCTTGCTCGTATGTTGGTTTGTGGGTTGTGTGGTTTGTTAAGAGGAGCCAGGAGCCCTGAGCTCTTGCTCAAGCCTCTTCCTTGAGAGGTGTGACCTGATGACCTGCTGAGAGCCACAGCCTAGTTGGAATGATGCATGGAGTTTTTTTGCCAGAAGGGAGTGGTTGAGAGGTGATGCCAGCGAGCCATTGAGATGATGATGGTTATGTTAAGCTGTGTATTCAATTGTATATTAGACCCCTGCTGCCCGCTACTTTGGAGTTCTTGTGTTGGTTGGGGATTTCTGGTTGGTGGTGTTCCTGGAAGGGCCGCGTGGGTGGGGTACGTTTGGGGAGTTTGGACAATAGAGGAGTTCCTGTTTTGAACCTACAAGTGCCTTGTGGCGGCTGAGTTATTTTGTGCCCAGCCAGACTGCAGCAATGACCCTGGTCAGAGAAACAGCAGGAAAGTTGCTTAAAACCAGAAGTAAAAAAAAAAAAAAAGTTGCTTAAAACCACCAGTAAAACCAGAAGATTCCAACAGCAAAGCAGAGTTCAATTGTGGAAGGGCAGGGCTTAGTCCCTGAGGACAGAGGGCTGTGTGCCTAAAGGAACGGCATTGGGGAGATGCAGTGGGGTGCTGCCGCTGCTGGCACTGCCCTTCTCCAAGACGTCCTCCCATGAGACCAGAGGCTGTGGGCAGCTGCTGGAGGACAATGAGCACCTGGTTCCAGGGAGGACTCTGCGGGAGCCTCAAGACGCCAGTTTGGAGTGGAAAGTGCTTTTACAGGAAGAGGCTTTGCAGGGCCAGCCTTTTCTGTCAGTTAGGACGGTTTTTAAATCCCAGAGCCTGTGGTTGTAAAGGTTGGTCCTTGTTTGCTCTTGTGGCTGTCTGACGGGCAGGTGTGGTGGTGATGGTTCAGTGATAGCTCTCCAAAAGGTGGCACTTGTCTCTTTGGGGTGTCCTCCTTCCTCTCTGGCGGCTCCTTGCCAGTGTCCTTTGCTGACCTCTCCTCTCTTCCTAGAATTGTGAGTGTCCTGGATCAGGATCCTTGATCCTCTCCTGTCTGCACTTCCTGTCTTAGTGATCTTATCCAGTCCCTGGATGGAAATGCCATCGTTTTGTCAAAGTGTTTACTTCCACCCAGAATCCAGGTTTGAATGTCGTGTGTACATTCAGATGTCCAGTGGACGCATCAGACTTGGCTAAGATTGAGCACTGATCATAACCACTCCCTCTCCCCATTACCTGCCACCTGCTGGACTTGCTTTGTCTCTGTTGATGGCAGCTCTTTTGCTCAGGCTGTTAACTTTTTAGTGATTTAGTGATGTTTGGAGCTGTAAGTCCAATCCAGTAGAAAGTCCTGTTGAGTGTCTTTAATGCAGATCTCCTTGGCAATTCCACCTCCGCTGTCTCCATCTTAATCCAAGCCTCCAAGTCGAGTGAATTTCTTGCTTAGGTTGTATTATGGCCTCATGGCAGATAATCTTCTTTGTCCCTCTGTCTTCCCTGTAGCACCCAGAGTAACACTTAAAAGCCACCATGTTACTCAGATTCCTCAGGTGAACACACCTCACCTCCCACTGGGACCACCTAGGGTGCAGGCCGGAAGCTGGACTGCTTTCCTCCTCCCACACCTTTGTCTGCTCTACCTTTTCTTTCCCAGTGTTTATCACCTTCTAACTATTAGTATTATCACAGTCCTTGCCAGTGTGCTAGCCATCAGTTTAAGCCTGGCCCTTGATTTACATTTATGGAAAGAAGACCCATGGAAGGCTGCCTCTAGTCCACACGGACTCTGCCAGGTGCTCAGAGGTCCCAGGTGTTGGTGGCTGCTGCACTGAGGGGTGCACTGTGCTCTGGATGGACTTGCTATGTCCAGTGTTACTCTAAACTCCAAAGGCACACGCTTTTGCCTCTTTATTTACTGAAATAAAAGTCCCCTGAACAGTGCTTGGCACATAGTAGGCGATTAGCTCATATTCATTTAATTGAATGGAATTACTATTTCATTTGAAGTAATTAAAACATTTGATTTTCTTTTTTAATCACAAAATTAAAATATTTGCAGTAAACACTTTTTTGAATGCTTATGTGCTGAGTCTGACATTGTGCTGAGCATTTCTGTTGCTTATTTAATTCTCATAATTATGTCTGCATGCACGTGTGAAGTCACCATCTTACATGTTAGGGAAAGAGAAGTGAGAGACTCAAATGTTGTTTAGAGTCAGACTTTGGGCCTGGGCATCCAAGCTTTGTTGGGCAGGGTCTAACCAGGGCTCAGTTCTTCCACGTTCTGAGCTCTGAGGCAGCTTTGGAGTTCAGGTTGAATCTGCTCTTTCACTCTTCTGTCTGGAGGGATGTTAAAGTTGGTGGTATTTCTTACCACCAAAAGGAAGTATTATGGGTGGTGCTTCGTTGTCTCGGATCAGGCTTTGTTTAAAACCATGGTTCACTTGAGTTAAGATGTTAGATCTCTCTGGACTATGGTGCATGCATGTAACCCCTGCAGCTTGGAGGCTGAGGCAGGGAGATTGCAAGTTCAAAGCCAGCCTCAGCAACTTATTAAGACCCTGTCTCTAAATAAAATATAAGAAAGGGCCAGGGATGTTGCTCAGTGGGTAAGCACCCTGGAGTTCAATTCCTGGTATTAAACAAAAAGATCTTAGATCCTCATAGCCCAAGAAATGATTCATCCAGAAATACTGCTGTGACGTGTGCTTAGAGGGATGGGTGTCCGAGAGGGCACCACCTGTCACCTGGGTTCTGCTGAGGGCAGCCTGCACCTCTTGTGCTGGACTTACACTCGCTCACTTAAGGTGGGTTTTATTTGTGTGTAAAATAGAATTACCTCCTGAAAGCTGAGGCACAGCTGGTCAGTGAAAGTTCCTCTTCTTCACGTTCTTGGCAATGCGGGATGGGAGTGCGGTACTCTGGTCATGATTGTTGTGGATGCCAGTCATTGACGTCACGAATTGGAGGAAAGTGGAAGCAGCAAGTCCCTCATGAGTGCTTCTTGTGTGCCGGGCTCTCGAGATCCCACCCCACTCATGCTGTATATTTTTTGATTAGTATCAAAAAATGAATTTATTCTCTGAAACCAAAGAATCATTAAGGAAAAGCAGTGTCCTCGGTCAGTAAGGCAGTGTCCTCGGTCAGTGCCTTCCTTGACTTGTTTCTCTCCTCTGTGTCTGTCTTGCAGGAGTACCAGGTGTCAAAGCAGAGCGGTTTGAAGAAGGAATGAAGGTTAAGCACTGTGCACTGTCCCTCGTGGGAGAACCGATAATGTACCCTGAGATCAATAGGTTTTTGCAGCTACTCCACCAGCGCAAAATCTCCAGTTTCCTCGTCACAAACGCACAGTTCCCCGAAGAAATCAGGTGAGTAGTGCAGCCTGTTGTGAAAGCTGCTTGGATCTGTGTGACTGTAGAGTGAAACCCATAGGCTCCAAGACATTGGAAGGGATTGATTTGCTTACTATGTACCCAACTCAAGAAGGTGGACCTGGTCCTGCTTGTCAGAACCCATTCCAGAAAAGATGGAGTAAGTCAGTGGACATGTGAGCTATGAAGGTGGTTGCTGAAATCCTGGGAGAATTTCTGCAACTGCAAAGCCTGGCAGAGACTATTGGAGAGTGTTGTCTGTGGGCATACCTTCCTCTGAAGCAGAGCATCCTGCCAGCTTGGGAAGAATGTGTACGCCCAGGCGTTGAGGGTTCATGAACCATGGCAACCTCCTGCCTCTGGTCTCCGTAACAGAAGATGTGAATACTCTGCTTCTGTGCTTCTGTGGATGCCCCACTGCAGAGGGAAACACTGGAAAGAAAATTGCAGTTGCAGGGATGTGTGCAGATGTTTCTTCTTGCTTTTCCGAGAGCGGCACAGCAAGAGGACTTAGGTGTGCAGATGGTGTGCGTGGGTCTTAAACAGGTGCAGAGCTCTCTCATACTAGGGATCCGAGCATTGGAGGCTTTGGCTTCCAGAGATTTGGGTCCTTGTGGGCGACCAGTCCCCCAAGGATACCGAAGGTCAGATGTAGTTTGAGGAAAGCTTAAAAGTAGGGCAGTGAGTGTTCCCTACAAGATACTGGATCATGAACCACAGGTTTCTGAAACCACTCTGGAGCCAGCTAGTCCTGAGATAGCCTCCACTTCTGTTTCCATCATCAGTGCTCCTCCAATGTGAGCCAAGGCCCCCACCATGTTGTGCCTAAGAGACCAGGAAGAAAGTGGTTCTCGGTGCTCATTTCTGAGAACTGGGAGGTATTGAGATGCCAGTTGTCTCTGGGGTCTTCATTTCTTTCAGGGAAACGAGGCTCCAGACTGAATCTTAGAAGCTCCATGTGTTCATGGTGCAGCTGCACTCAGCGGGTCAGCGGTCAGTGGTCAGCCCAGGCAGTTGCTCAGCGGTCAGCCCAGGCAAGCAGCTCTAGGCGAGCGTCATGCAGCCTTTTCTGGTCTGAGCTCACAGGAGGATGTGGTCATGCTGCCTGGGTGACTGGGTGCCTTACAGGCTGGATATTTATGTCTTTCTAAAAGAGCCTGGCTGTGTTGGTGGCTTCCCCGCCCTACCTTGGAAGCGTTGCATTCGTCCTGGTGGCCTTCTTGAGGTCTTCAACTTTCCTAGGAGGGTTTCAATACTCCAGGTGCAACGTAGTGGGCTCCTCGCTGACAATGACCCTCCCAGGGGCGTTGTCCAGTGACAGTCCTGCAGGGCTTATGGGCAAGAGCTCAATGCCGCCCCCACTAGCTGTGGTCGCAGTGTGGAGGCAGATAGGAGGGAAAGGACGAGCCGCACTGCCCAGTAGCTTTGTCCTTCTGTCACAGCTGAGGCTAACGAAAGCGTGTGCTTGGTACTAGTAATAGAGCAGGGGTGGCTGGACAGGAGGGAGCCACTCCTGAGCAGCATCTTCTCAGGCTCACAGAATACGAGTTTCCATGGGGGTCTTTCTTGGGAGTGTCACTGATCTGCTTTAGTGGATACTGTCACTAATGCTGTCTCTAGTTATCTGATAAGACCTTTCCTTCTACTCCTAAGTATGAGCCGTGCAGTTGTGTGGTCCTGGCCAGCTCCGCTGGTCTTGGTGTGCTCCTGTGTCAGTCGGTGGATCCACTGGGCTGGCCGGGTTAGGATGGCCTTGAGACCACTGGGGTCCACATTCATGAGTTCTGGCAGGCTTCTCTGGACTCCTGGGCAGGGCACCAGCAAGAGAGAGCGCCTTTCTTGGCATTGGAATCGCCTGGGATCACCTGGCCATGTTGTGTGTCCAGCTTCTGAGGATGCTGCAGGCTCTTTGTCCTGTCACTCCCAGCTCTGAGCATTTGCCTGCCATTCCCCTGAGGCCACCCTTGGCATGATCTGTGCTGTCTTCCCCAGGAACCTGGTGTCCTTCATGGGCCGGCTTGCCTTTCAACTTATTCGTTACGCCGTTCTTAATTCCCCAGTTAACTCCGTCATTCTTTCCCATTCTGTTCGACTACTTTGGTCATGGTTTTGGGGTACCCATTCATTCATCTCTTGCTCCCCCCAAGGTGAATGTTTAAGGCTGAGCACTGTGTCTAGTGTCCAGTTTAAGCCACCTCCGAGCGAATGCTCAGTACATGAGCCTATGGAAAGAAGTTGAGTTTAAATTTATTTTTGAAGTTTCATACAATTCACAATTATAATTTATTTATTTATGTTTTCTAGTGAAACTTTTTATTTGTTCTAATTAATTATACATGACAGCAAATAAAGTGAAGAGAGAACCTGCAGAGGGGAAGAAGACCGAGCACTAGCATTTCTCTCTGAAGAGTGGGTGTGGCCTTCTCTGGTACTTGGCATGATGGTCCACCTCTCACAGTCTGTAGGCTTCTTGGCCTTCTGGGTTTACAGTGCCATGTGCCGCCCAATGCCACAGCCCTGTGGGTGCCCCGCTGTGGGAGAATGCTGGCCTTGGGTGGGGCCAGGACCTGCGCAGGGCCTCTGGGATGCTCCAGTCTCTGGCTGACAGCTGTGCTCTGTGGTCTTTGTGTGGGCCACTTGGCCTCCTTGGAACCTCCCTGTTTGGTTGTGGGGACTCAGCTACCTGAGGGAGGGGTGATGGGGGCACAGTGCCCCGCAGCCTGCGCACCTAGCAGATGGCAGAGGGGTCTCTCCTCTTACTACTCTCTGTCCTCACCTAGATTATTGGCCTGATCTGATGGCCGCAGGTGCCTTAGTGTTGAGTTGTCACTGCGTTTGATGTTGGGGCCACTGTGGCTGTTTTTTCGTTTTGAAAGGAAAATGAAACTTACTGTTTACTTGGATTTCTAACAAACATAAATTTCTCCCTGCTTTGTTTCTTTCTACAGATACTGATAGGCCTCATTCTGCCTTCCAAAGAATATAGCTCGGAAGATAGAATGAGTCACTAATGTCTACTGAAAAAAGAAAAGGGAGAGGGACTTTTTATTTGTTGGTACATTCCTTTATTATTCTTAACTCAGTCTTAAAATCAGGACGAGGGTCACCACGGTCAGCACTTGAGGAGTCGCTGCACATTTGGACTGGTTGTTGGTTTAAGGTTGAATATCCTAAATATTACCCTTTTTTGTTCTCAGCATTGATGGTGAGGTTTTCAGACACAGGAGTTGTTATGATGACATAGTGATATCACACTCTGCTTTTTGGAAACTTAAATGCTGTTGTCTCTGTAGAGATGGGTGATGTGTCAGGGGCCTCGTTGACCTCATGGAGGATAGAGGCCAGTAAGTGGCAGAAATAAGATCCCTGGGACTGAGAAGGTGTCTCCCTGGTCCCTTTGCTGCTGCTGAGCACCTCAGAAATGAGCTGTGAAGTCCCAGGGGCCTCTGCTCCCCTCTGTCTGTCTTTGCTCCCTGGCATAAGGTCTGCACAGTTCTTTGACAAGTGTCTCGACAGCGGCGTGGATCCATGTTCCTTCCTGTACTGCAGGTGTCCAGGGCTCGCTCTCGTGTAAATGATCGATGTTTGCACACTGAGCTTGACCTTTGGAGTAGTTATGAAGGGTGGGGAGAAGGCCAGGAAGTGTCGTGGCAAGTCCTGTGAGTATCAGGTGCGGACAGCCAGCAGGACCATTAAGACAGTCAGGTCCTGTTCTCTACTGGTCAGGCAGCACAGCTGTGGCTGTTAGAGAGGCCTGCGGGGATGGGCTGAGGAGACAGGGGCGGGCCTCCATGGCCATGCTGCTCTTCTGCACTTTAGTAAGTGATGGTCTTTGCTCAGAGTGACATGTCCTGAAACTCTAAGGCTTCCCCTTGCATATCAGTATTGCAGAAGGCTTAAAATACATAGTATTTTTTTGGGGGGAGGGGTACTAGGGATTGAATCTAGGGCACTGAATATCCCTAGTCCTTTTAATTTTGAGACAGGGTCTTAGTAAGTTGCTAAGGCTGGCCTTGAACTTGGGATTCTCCTGTACCACTGCATATAGCTTCTTTTTTTTGTGAGGGTGGGTACTGGGGATTGAACCCAGGGGCACTTAAGCCACATCCCCAGCCCCCTTTTAAGTTTTTGTTTAGAGATAGGTTCTCACTAAGTTGCTTAGGGCCTCACTAAGTTTCCCAGGCTGGCCTTGAACCTGTGATCGTCCTGCCTCAGCCTCTTGAGCCACTGGGACCACAGAAACAGTATTTTCATCACCTTTTTCTGCCTCTGGTCAGCTCTTCTGCATTTGGTAAGATTGGGTCTGGCATCTCTTACTTTCCTGCATGTCACTTAGCTGATCATGGCACATATTTGCTTGGCTTACTTTTCCTTAAAGATTCTGCCCACTGATGTCAACAACACCCACTAAAAGGTAGCTTTAGGAACCTATGTGTCTGTGTGCCAGCCCTTCAAGGTTCTTCACCCAATGACTGATCAGGCTATAAAAAGCACATAACCACTGTGTGGCATAGGAATTATATCTGTTTTTTGTCTTTGTGTTTTGTACTGGGGATTGAACCCAGGGATGCTTTACCATTGGGCCACATCCCCTGCCTGTTTTACTTGTATATTTTGAGATGTGGTCTTGCTAGATTACTTAGGCCTCTCTAAGTTGCCCAGGCTAGCCTTGAACTTGTGATCCTCCTGCCTCAGCTTCCTTAGCTGCTGGGATTATAAATATCTCTATTTTAAGTGTGCATGGACTTTGAAACAAAAAGCATGTGTAAATAACATTGTAGGGGTAAATGTGGAATATGTGTGGAACAGTTATAGAAAATCAACAGTGGGAGAATTTTGTCAGAGGCTTATTAAGGGGGAAATCCTGTCTTCTTTGCTGGTTAGTTTTAAATTCACCACAGAGAGTAAGTTATGAGACCCATTTGAAAGGAGAAGGGGAGAGATTTTGGGATATTTGCAATTTATATATAAAGCATAACTTGCAAAAAATCCAGCAGCTAGTAGTGACGTGAGCCAGTGAATTTGAGATGAGCTCATGAGAGGTGGGAATCTGCACCTAGTGTTTCTCCTCTGGGTGGCGCAAGTGCTGGGTCATAGCCCTGCTATTCTGGCTCCCCTTGCCTGCACCTCCCCAGCGTGACTTAACCCCTGCTCCCCCCACACGTTGGAAGCTCAGGAGTAGAGTGGGAGCTTTGGGTTGTCCCTGGTTCCTTGGAAGACTTCCTTCTGTGAGTTAAAGGTCTCAGGTGGCCATCGGCATAGACCCTGTGCAGTTAGGAAGCGATAGCTGTGCAGGTCTGAGGGTGGTGGTCGTGGGAAGGGAGGTTCCAGGGACCCCTGATTGTGCTGGGCTGGTGCTGCCAGGCCTGAAGTTGGGTTCTGTTCTGTTTTCCACTAAAACCCCGTATTTGAATGAGTGATTAATGGTTTCCATTTACCAGGGGTGGTACTGGCCGAGGGTGTGTTGCTTGGGTCAGTGTGGTCACTGCAGCTGACAGCCTGTGTTGCTGCCTGATGGAGGCATGATCTAATTTTTTTTCCTTTTAATTGAAGAAAGCTCAAGCCGGTCACTCAGCTGTATGTCAGTGTGGACGCCAGCACCAAAGACAGCCTGAGGAAAATCGACCGCCCGCTCTTCAAGGACTTCTGGACCAGGTTCCTGGATAGTTTAAAAGCCTTAGCAGAGAAGGTAAGAATCCAACTCCCTGCAAATGAGCAGAGGAGGAAAGAGAACCCAGAGTACTGTTTCCTCTGAAACCAACTGAGCGGATGTGGTCTTGATAGATTACTTAGGGCCTCACTAAGTTGCCCAATTGTCCCCCACCATGGGGGGACAGTGAGTGTTGGCTCCCCTGTGCTGGCACTGTGCTGGGACTGTGCTGGGAGAGTCCTTCGCCCTGCGTGTGTGTAGGGAGAGGTGCATACACTGCAGGGGTTGGTAATGGCACGTGGTTAGGTAGCCGAGCACAGCAAACCCAGGGGAGGTGTCGGCAAATGGCGTCAGTTCAGAATCAGTGCTGACTTGACTGCACTTCAGGGACCAGGCTTCCTGTCTGGTAGTGACTTGGCCTCAGGTGGCCACTGTAGTTATTTCTCCTGCGACAGTTGGCCCTTCTGTGTGTACTCTCTTGATGTCCTTTCTTTTCCTTCCTTCTGGTTATTTGTTTTTTTTAATGGAACTGGGGACTGAACCTAGGGGTGCTTTACCACTGAGCTCTAGGGTCTCGCTGAGTTTTTGGGGCTGGCCTGGAACTTGCAGGCCTCCTGCCTCGGCCTTCTGGGTTGTGGGGATCACAGGGGTGCCCCACCGTGCCTGGCTTGGTTCTTCTTTTCCATCAGCCCTGTCTGTGGGGCTGGCACTTTGTGTCAGTTCTGCCTCTGGGCTTCCCTCACAGCCCTTTGCTTTTGCTTTTCTCTCTGCCTTTGCTGTTGTCACTGGCCCTCTGTTTCAGTAGCCTTGGAATTGATCTCCTTTCTTGCTGCTGCCTTTTGAGCCATTGTGAGAGCTGTACTCCACATCTGCCTGGTGAGAAGCACCACAGGAGCTGAACATTAAAATTTCCTCTGTGTTATGACTTGAGTGTGATGTGTCCCCCTAAAAGCTCATGGGGTGATGCAAGAATACTGAGGGGGGACTGGTTAGATTAGGAATGGTGGCCTCATTCGTGGCTGAAGCTGTGTGGTGGATTAATAATGTGGGTGGCCCACTGGGTGGCAGCTGTGGGCAGTGGGGCATGGTTGGAGGGTGTGGGATCCTGGGCCTGCCTGGAGGGTGCACCTTCCCGGCTGCCCTTGCCCTCTGGCTCTGCCTCCTGGCTTCTGGGAGCTGAGGACTTTTCTGTGCCAGGATGTGCCACCTCCCCTCAGGCTCAGAACGAACTTTTTCTCCTCTAAACTGTTACGTCTAGCAGTTTGGTCACAGTGATGAAAAGCTGACTGCACACTGTTGCTGATATCATCCTGGTGTGTGTGTCACAGGTGACACTGGCCGTGCAGTGCTCCTCCGCCCTGCTCTTAGATGCCACTGACTTCACCCACACAGACCCATGTATATTTCCAGTCTTGCTCCTCATGGGTGCTGGGAATGTGCACCTCCCTGCAAGGATACCTCCCTGCACAGGCACCCAGCGCTTCCTGGCCTGAGTCTCGGCACTCTCGAGACCACAGTGTCCTTTCTTCCCACTAAGGGCTTAGCTCTGTCCCTGCCTCTGCTGAGACGCCTTTTAAAGTGCAGTATCTCCCCTTCCTGCCCTCCTAAGTTCCACCTGTAAAAACACTGGCCTGCCTTTGCCCCAGCCACTCTCGTGGACTGGACTGCGGCCTCAGGCCTGGGTTCCTCACATGGCCAGCACAACACATTTTGTGGCATTGGGAAGTGGTTTGTAGAAAGAATGATTGAGTGGAAACAGCAGAGCTTTGTAGAGTGCTATATGCATTTTCCCAACCCTCCAATTGCTTAATTCTGTTTTCTTGTTCTTCCTTTTTTTAAAATGTTTATTTTATTTTATTATTTTTATGTGGTGCTGAGGTTCAAACCCAGGGCCTCGCACATGTTAGGTGAGCGCTCTACTGCTCAGCCCCAGCCTCAGCCCCCATGTGTTCTTTTTTGTTGTTGTTTGTTTGTTTGAGAAGTTAAATCAGTGCCTTTTTTGGTTATTAACACACATATTTAAGAAACACACTAAGGCACTACTTTGACTTTGCAGCTGTCTTGGACTCAAACAGCCAGAAGGCCAAGTGCACTTCAGGCTCCTAAAATGGACTCATCTCTGGACTTTGCCTTCAGCCACATCATCACCACCTGTGGCTGAGACAGGAGATGCATAGCTGGAAAGCTGGGATGTGTTTAGAGGAGCGTGAACACCAGGAGCTGACACCCCCAGGCTGTGACCAGGCTGTGTCTTGGGTCAGAGTGGCAAGACGACAGAGGCATTAGCAGAATAGCTTAGGAGCTTCCTGTCTTACTTTGGCCAGCATTTTCTGCAGAATGATTCCTCATCTTGACATACCAGCTTTTGGATGTCCAGTTCAATTACAGTGACTTTGGGCTTACTAATTAATAGTGATGAGGTTGCTTAGAGTTTTATGGTACTGTCTGACCCAAGGACACCTTCAACTGGGCTTCACTCTGGTCTCCTCATAATTCCAGCTGGGAAGGTTTCCTTGGGCTATTTAAACTATTAAGGCAGGTGCTTTCTAAGCATTTTGTAGCAATTACAGTTAATGTTTCTCATTCCTGAATTGTTTACGTAGCCATTTAAGAAAGAAGATCTGTGGCTGGAAACTGCTCTTTAAAGATTTTCTTTTAACTCCAGCTTGTATTTATTTTGGACTATCTGATATGAGGTATAGTGGATGCTATCAAGAAAGTTTGCTTTACTGCTGACACACAAAATGAACACGGTGTAACTATATTTATTAGCCTTGGTTAAACATCAGTAACTCTGCTATCATTTGAGGTTTTCAATAGAAGTGCTATTTCAGGTATCTTAATTAGAATGACCCTAGTGTTTTTGCCGATTACTTGTTTGGGCTTTTTAGTGTGCCTGAACAAGAAAAAGCATTAAAGAATGGGAATTTGTTGAACTTCATGAACAAGGAAATTCGGTTTACTGAATTTCTAGCCTCCTTAGAAGCTGATGCTGCCCAAAGTAGGAGGTGGAGTAGTTTGTTTTTCCTCCTGATAAGTATGGTGTTCACATTTCCAGATCTTTATCCTTTATCAAAATGTTTCTTTTCAATACGAGGGGAGAAATACATTGGTACTCTAGTATGTGGGGTCCAAAAGCCATTCTGTCAAGATAACAGGGCAAATTGGGTTAGCTTCGACTTTGGCCTGTTAGAGCTGCATGCCACACAGTCCTGTTTTCAGCAGAGAGACCCTCTTGTTCAAGACAACACTGCCTACCTTATCAGTGTGTTCTGCTGGCATGGAATGATGCCAAGGTCACGATCCAGCAGGAGGTGAGAATGATTAGTCCTCTTCTGTGTTGAAGCAATAACATCAACTTTCTTAAAACCTCCTATTTTAAAGAGAAAAAAGGTGGACATCATTGCCTTCATTACATATTCTTGGCCATCAGAAGTGAACACCGGCCCCTCTCTGTGGATGCTGGTGCTCTGGCCTCACATCATGTGGCCCACAAGTGCAACTTAAAAGACATCGACTATTTGACCTCATCTCTGCTTATAGAAGCATTAGGTGCCAATTAGGGACATTTGGGGGGAAGTAAAACATGCTCACGGTCCTTAGTTTGATCCCTAGTACCACAAAAATAAAAAATGCAGATGAACAGAAATAATTCATTAAAAATAAAGAGTCAAGGCAAGAATATAGCTGTAAGTGCAGGTCCTTGAGATGAGAACTATTCACAGTGACATCCATCTGTTCAGCCCTCATTTGGGGAGAGCTGCTGCTTTGTGCCTGCCTGATTGAGCTCTGTGTACTGCTGTCACTTTGGTGGTCAGCATCATGCATGAGCGTGTCCCCATGCCATTGAATTCTCTGATATGCCTTGTGAGGCCACCTTGTCTTTCACTCTGCTCAGTTCCTGGATAGTTGGCCAGCAGCAGGGAGTAGCAACAGTGTGTGCTGTTTGTGCATGTCTCCCCCAGGGCCTACAGAAAGTAGGGTTCCTGTCCAGTGCCTCTGCTGTCTCTGAGTTGCAGTGTATACATTGTGTCACTAACATCATAAAATTGTTTGTGGGCTGGGGATGTGGCTCAAGCGGTAATGCGCTTCCTTGGCATGCGCGGGGTGCTGGGTTCTATCCTCAGCACCACAGAAAATAAAGAAGTTGTGTCTACCGAAAAACTGAAAAATAAATATTAAAAAAAAAAATTTCTCTCTCTCTCTTAAAAAAAAAATTGTTTGTGACCAGGGATAGCATGGTATGTTTAACTCTAAGCCTAACCCTAAAGCATCATTGCTTTCATAAGGAGAGGTATAAAAATGACATTGTATTTGGGAATCTATGAAATGTCTTCTCTCCTGCCTTCCCTTACTCCCTCCCTGCCTGCCTCTGTCTGTCCTTCCTTCCTTCCCTCACTCCCTTTCTGCCTGCCTCC